TTAGTATATAAGCCCAGCAAATAAAGCGGAGATATAATTGCAGATAGACAGATATAGAGACGGATAATCGAGTCAAGCCGTAAATAAAGTGTGTAAATCGCTGTGCATTATAGCTAAGTTAAAGTGACTGTGGAAATTAAGTGTATTGCAAAGTGGTATCGAGAAAGAATAAACTAGTTTTAATTAAGAAAGGACTTGTATCGCTGAAGTTTCTCGGAAAGAATTTTTACGGCAAATTATCAAACAAGCAGATACGTAACAATATACTATTTGTTAAGTTTTTCTGTGGTGCCTTCTGGTGGCTAAAACATTTACAGTTGAAAAAAAAATATATATATACCACATTTTACGTATATCACGAATTTATGGAAAAATAATAATTCCCTTATTATTTACTATTTGCTACGTAAAGTTATAAATATTTATCTGTATTGAAACAAAACAAACAATAATTTGGAAAGTTCGGTTGAGTTAAACACGTTTCTTATGTACGAACGAATTTAATTTAAATAATTATTTGCACGTTCAGTAAAAAATAAATATTTGTTTGTGTGTGTGTGTGTGTGATTAACAGCGTAACTGTATTCAAGATTTGTTTACATTACTCAGAGACTCCGAAAGATTCGTTGTTAGGCAAGTTGGTGCTTCTGTCACATTTGGAATATAATTTCTTCTGTTTAATGAACCGTTAAGAGCAGCTTTCAAAATTTAAGAACTCTCTAAAACGCGAAACAAATTTCATTAGTTTATCTCATTATTTCGCAACATCGTAAATCATGCGCACACACAAAAAACTGAAATTTTTCCATTGCATTTTCCTTTCCGTTTCTTCTGGAGGCTGGAAATATACTTGTGTGACGTTTAACAAAGAAGACAGATAATTTCATCTAATTACGCATTCAAAATGATATTTTTAGAAGTGCTGCCGTCAAATAAGGGCGCAGTGATGAAAACATTAGAAGTCTTATCTAATAATTAAGAAGGTAAAAGAAGTTGTTAGGGTTAGCAAGCTAGTCTGTAGTATAATTCAACGTCTAGACATTAGCTTTTCAATACTTGTTAACGGAACAATAAAATAAATGGAACGTGAAGAGGCTTATTTTAGCCCTTGGAGAACGTACCTCGGTTGTCTGGGCACTGGAAATTTGGATCCAGTCCTTTGAGGAAGAATTTTTCGATTTTCTCAATGTTTCCGTTTTTGACGTGCTCTGTAAAACGCCGCAGAGTGCTCTGAATAAAGAAAAGCAAAGAGAAATTTAGTTCATTATTGCGCACGCGCCCAATTGTTATAAGTAAAAACAACAATTGGTTCTCTCGATAACCGTTTAGCGAATAGAAACCGTTATTTTGATAAGGTATAAGTAATATAAGTAATAAATACGGAAACATGTAATGAAATATCATTATTTTATTATGATGTTTTTAACATAATTTCTGTCTGTGGTCACCGAGAAAGCGACATGATAAAGATAAGTTTTTCTTTTACGGAATAAAGTCAATAAAGTGACTTTAATATTCACGTTTAAAAATGTAGGGTTCGTCTGGAACTTGTCCATCCACGTGCAAGTAAGAAAATCTGCGCTCAGTTTCTCTAATATAGAAATCACTGTTCATATCTTACAAAGTTTGAATCTAATTAAACTGTGAACGACATGAATTAATAAAAATTAGTTTTTTATATAGTAAAATAATATACATAAAATTAAACGGTAGCTGTGATCAACCGAACTTCACAATTTTTAACTGTGTTCTGAGCGTGACAAGGAATTTTATGTTCGTTTATATTATATTGTTTGCTTATTTGCAATTAAGCACAAAGCTACACAATAGGTTATCTGTGCTGTGCCCACCACGGGTATCGAAACCCGGTTTCTAGAGTTGTAAGTCCTAAGACATACCGCTGTGCCACTGGGGAGCGTTTATATTATTATCGAAACTTAAATTATTATTAAATTATTTTCACAATACGCATTATTTAAATGTTTTTTATTTTATTTTACTGCTTTCGTAACATCATAGACTACTCTTCAGTATCAGTATATAAAAAACAGAAAACAAATACGTTTTGACAAAATTTATATTTGAAATCATAGTTTAAATGAAAATAAATATAACTTACAAGTTTTGTTTTTTCAATTTAAACTTTTTGTTTAAAAAACAACAACAGATAATAAAATAGATTATCTTCTGTGTTTCGTCCAGTGGCTCAACGGAAGTAAGCAGGCTCACTAACCTAAATGTCGGGTTTCGATACCTGTTGTAGATATAGCACAGATAGTCCTTTGTGGAGCTTTGCGTTTAACAACAACCAAATCTTATATATATCACATATTCCCCTCATTCAAAATAAAAGCTGTCTAACTTTTTTTGATTGGTTAAACTGCTTGTCACGTGACCACTAAGTTGAGTAATGAAACGCGAGGTTTCAGAGACAATCATTAGATCAGCAGAGTTCTTGAAACAATGTTTGTTCTGTTAAATAAAGTGTGAGACGACGCAGAGCGGACTTGCCAATACAGAGAACTATGGCAACTGGTGTTTCGAGACAGTAAAAGGAAGCGACTAAGCGGGGGCACCAGAGACGACAGTATTTCATAAGAAGACTGAAAATGTAACTGTTTTTATCCTTATATATTATGGTCGGGTGTGACCTAAAGGTTAGCGGGTTCGGGCTGCAATTCGCGTCCCGTTGCCGCATCAGTGCACTCTACACTTTGAGGCCGTGGATATGCTCTAAAATTACAGTCAAATTCCATTATTTTGATGACAGACGAGAACAGCCCAGATTTGGCGGTGGGTGCTGTCTTCACTCTAGTTTATCGTTTCAGAATTAGGAGCGGTTATGCGCAGATAGGCTTTGGGCAACTATGCGTTAATAGATCCAAAGGTTCAACATTCACTGGATTACCTAGAATTTGAAGTCGCAGTTTCTGGCCTGATGTAATTTGACTATAACAAATTCCTTCCCTAAAGGCTCAACTTCATCATTCTGATCATTTTAAAGCTGAGACCTTAACTAGTAATCTAAATGTAACCGATTTGTGTTATTCAACGAAGTCGCGGGTTCGAATCCCCCCCCTCTCACACCAAACATGCTCGCCCTTTCAGCCGTGGGGGCGTTATAATGTGACGGTCAATACCACTATTCGTTGGTAAAAGAGTAGCCCAAGAGTTGGCGGTGGGTGGTGATGACTAGCTGCCTTCCCTCTAGTCTTACACTGCTAAATTAGGGACGGCTAGCGCAGATAGCCCTCGTGTAGCATTGCGCGAAATCCTAAACAAACTCTTTCAATTTTTGGTTAGATAATCCAGGGGGGCAAGTGCCAGAGTTACCTTGAGTTATCAGAAACCGTTCATGGAGTTTCAGATTCAGTTTAAACACAAACCATCAATACTGAAGTACTCCAAGTACACGAGGAGAAGATTTATTCTCATAAATATATTTTCGCTTCTACTCATACTTATATGATAAATTCATAAGCGATCTTTACAGCTTTATCATCAAACATCGGGAAATGCCCCCCCCCCCCATTTTCTAAACTAAACTTCCTATTACGAAATTTTGACAAAATCTAATATTTAGTTATGATTATTTTGTATATTTTTTGTGAGAGTAGTATAACGATAATGATTATACTTTAAGCCTAACAAATACTTTTTCCGATGCAGCTATACTAAAACTCCTGCATTCACTACTTGTATGTAAGACAAAGTACCCAACAACTGTATCACCATGTCAGTAACCAGAAGCAAGAAGTCATAATGAGCACCAACACAGCCAAGGGAACGGGCTTTGAGAAATCAGCGGTAACCCATTATCGCATCATTATGTCATTAGACAGATCTAAGGTGTTAAAAAGAGCAACAGCACCATACCAATAATTGTGTAACCTATTAACATATCACCATGTCACTTACCAGAACCAAGATATAATGAGCACCAACAACATGTCAACAATCGTATAACCTATTAACGTATCACCACGTCATTAAACAGATCCATGTGCTATTGATGTAAGACCGCCCATCTGTTGTCGTACTATAGATCACACTATTGATGTAAAACTGTCCATCTGTTGTCGTACTATAGATCCCACTATTGATGTAAAA